ATATATATCAACTAATTTGATTCAAAAGACGTAAGAAGGCCCACAAAAGAAGCCCAAAGCCATCAAGTAACTGCCAGAGGAAGATGTTGGTGGTGACAGTTGCTTTCCCCTCGAACAAAGAAGAGAAATTCAAATAATAATAATAATAATAAATAAATAAATAAAGGATTGAAAACATGAATGTCACTAGCGGTGGCGATGGTGGCGGAGTCGACGACGTTAACACATCCTCCGCCCTGACCAACTGGACGTACACCGTCTCCCAAAGATACCAACACCTTCTCGACAAGTCAACACCATACGTCCGCCACCGTTGGATCGGTTTCGGCGTCGTCTTGTTCATCTACGTCCTCCGTGTTTCCTTCGTTCGAGGTTACTACATCGTAACATACGGCCTAGGGATCTACATTCTTCAGCTCTTCATCATTTTCCTTTCGCCTCAGGTTGATCCCGAATTTGAAGAAGAACCTTTCGATGGCCTTGCCCTACCTACCCATGGATCCGAAGAATTCCGCCCCTTCGTTCGTCGTCTTCCCGAATTCAAGTTCTGGTGCGTCCCACATTTTGACCTAATTCTCGTATGTTATTTGCGATTTAGCTAATAAACAGAAGATTCTATTAAAATGGCTACAGGTATTCAATTACAAAAGCAGCTTGCCTTGCTTTTGTGTTGACATTCTTCCGTGTATTTGATGTTCCTGTATTTTGGCCGATTCTATTATTCTATTGGATTGTGTTGTTTGTTGCAACAATGAGGAGACAGATAAGGCATATGATAAAGCATAGATATGTTCCCTACACATTTGGCAAACGGGTAACAAAATTATACCTAAACTTCTCAGATTAATCTCAGATTCTGTAAACTGATTGGATGCATTGCTCATCTGTTTCTAGCGTTACACAGGAAGGACTGAAGAAGTGGTTCATGATGCATCCCCTGTTACAAGTTGAATCTTCATTGGTAACATTTGTTGCATATTACAGGTACATTGAACCAATTAGATGATTATTATAAGTTAGAATAGCGATTTCATTTACTGAATTTGTTATACATTACAATCTTGCAGTATTGAGAAACAAATTGTTAGTTGCCTTAATTAGTACTTGTCATGATAATTGTTAAACGATTTATATGATCAGACTGTTTGCCATTTTGAAACATGATCATTTGGGAAAATTGAATAGAAATAACAAAGTAATTTTGTTTGATTCATATTAAATAATGCATTGTTATAACTTTATGATGATTGATTGATACCAAAGCAGATTACCAAACAAAGATAATGATGTAACATAAATATGAAAGGTTTTGGACCAATCAACTTACCTTTTGAAGCTTCCTTCCTAAATAGACTCCACTTATTTCTTTTTTACTTGACAAAGACTTAATAGGAACAATGTTTTTTATTCAGGCAAATATCACTAATTATTTATGCTAATATTAATTACATGCATAGATATATCTATGCATGAAATGTAATAATGTATAGTATGTTGAAAAAAGAAACTGAAAATTAACCAAATAAAAGATTGTCATAAAAGATTATTTGCAGACTTAAATTAAAGTTGTGGAAATAGCAGGAATCTGTTCAAATGCAATAAATAGTACAGGAAGAATCAATGCCAGAGTATTTACAAATCAAGAATCTGATAAACAAAACTATCATATCAGATTTCAACCCCTCAAAGCAAATCGTGATCACCTCTCTCTCTCTTCATCTTTCACCTCTTAAGCAATGTTCCTCTTTGCCTTGGTTGGTGTTGCAAGAATCCTCTTGATTGCCATTGTTTCCAACGGGCTGTTCTTGCTCTGTTTCCATCAACAATCAAATCATTAATCAAATACAAAACTACACAAACATCCAAGGGTATTCAAGTCTTTTTTCACAGACTCATTCAACTTTTTTGAATGGCACAAAAATTACAACTAATAGAACAAAACCCGCAATGAGCAAACTTGTTCTCTCATGTCATATGATGACATGACAAAACACTGTGTTTTGTCCTATAGTTTTGATAGGATAGAACAAACAATGTAGAATGTTTGTTTTACCCTGTCCTATATATTTTCAACTTTTTGTATGGTACAAAAAGTTGAAAATATTGTTACGTAGGATAGGACAGAACTGTCATGTCCTATCCTACATAACAAACATCAGCTTAAGGTAACAAACTAACCTTTGAGCAAGTACCCCTGCGCACATCGCAAATGGGGTAATCATGTGGGCAGCAACTGTAATGATCCTCACAGCAAGTGGCGCCCTCCAACGGGCAGCAGCCCCAAGCAAAGCAATAACCGTAGTACTCATAGATACAGCAGCAGGTAGTTCCTTCCGGGCAGGTGCTGTACTCATCACAAACTGTTTCAGGTGTGACCGGTGATGGTGGAGATGGGCCAGGGTTCGGTGGGTTTTGGCCAGTTTTAATGGGGTAAGATGGCTCCATTGCTATACCACAAAGCCCTGTTTTATCTGCGATGTTTCTTTCCATTTTCAAGTAACCTGATTCACCCCACTCTGCTCCCCATGAGTTCTTCACTATCCAATAATCTTTCCCGTCTTGGGTCCCGTACCCGACTGCCAGCACACCGTGGTCTAAAGCGGTCCCACATTTACCTGTGAACACACCCTGCAATAATCACAACCAATCGTTTTTAACCAGTTAGATACTACTCTTGTATTACACTGGTTGATTAAAAAAAATATTAAATATGAATGAGTAAACATTAAGGCTACATGTTTTGTGTTTTCCAAATTGTATGTAAATTACATAAAAATGATTTTTACGGTTTGCAAGTTTTCTAAAATGGAAAATGATTTTCTAAAATTTTCATTGAAAACTGAAAATGAAAACTCGGACTCTATTTTCTGAAAACGTTTTCTAGAAAAATACAAACAATTTTCCACAACCAAACGTTACCTAAAGATTTCTAAAAATGAAGGGGTGTTTCAGCTTCCATGAGACATTTGGAAACACAACTTGGTGACAAGTGTCCCTAAATTTACTAATTTATTATATATAGAAGATAGAAGATTTATATCATTTCTTTTGTTACATTACAAAATTGTACTTTCAAAAATAATCTATGCAATAATAAACAAATCATGATGCTTTCATTCTTTTTATTATAACATTTTACTTTCAATTGTTTTCTTATGAAAACATTGTATTTTGAATAATCTATCTAATTATAGCATCTTAAAAAGTTAACCACGTATATCTTATCAGATGACATATTATTGACATTGCTATAATTAGGTAGATTTTTCAGAGTAAAAATGGCACTAATAGGAAGAAACAAAATCACAATGCTATAAATAACACATTACCGAAGTGTAGAACTGAAAATCGCGACCACCGGCTTCAATGGCGACAGATACAGGCTGGTTTGAGACCGCCTTTTTTAATGCTGACTCATCGTTAACCGGAACATCTTCATAACCATCAATGGAAACAACCTTTGCGTTCTTCTGCATAAACCAAAAAATACATAAAAAAAACCCAAAGTTAAATAAAGTAAAGTAAATCCGGATTAACTTAACAAATGGTGAAAGTTATTGGGTTAAAACGAACCCTATAGGTGTCACATTTCCCATCTCTTCCAGTGTAGGGGTAGTCTTCTTCAGTGTCAATTCCACCATTTTTGATTATGAATTCGAATGCATAGTCCATGAGACCTCCATTGCATCCTTCATTGTAAGAAGTATCACAGTCCACAAGCTCTTGTTCCGAGATGGAAATCAAATCGCCTGTCACGATCTGGTTGATCCCTTCCACTGATCCTGTGGTTGAAAACGCCCAACAACTCCCTACAATCGGATCGAAAAAAAAAACATCAACATCAAAGAGTTCAATGCAAGAAATAGCAATCAACTTTGTAAAATGTCATACAAATACAAAGTAATAAGAAAAGAATTGAAAATACAATAATTATAAATTAGTCACAAATATTGTATATATTACTTTTTGTTAAAAGTTATCTAATAGTTAATTGTATTTTGTAATTATTAAATAAATTATAAACAAAATTCATTAAATACATGAACTGAATTTTTTTCACTAAAGAACCAAATATTGGATTGGTTTGATTGGTAGTTATATAAAAGAAAAAGAAACTATTTTTTTTTAATGAATGATGTGGTTGCTTGTGGTTATGAACGTTGATAATAATCATAATATAACATATTGCTGTTTTCTTTAAAAACAGAATGTATAGGTTTCTAGAGAACAACGGATAAGATCTATGATTGTATTTTTTAAATTATTAATAACAAAAATAAATTACGTTATTGTCCTTTGTTTACCCATTATCCAAATCATCGATAAACTACGAAACATCCTATGATCCTATGATTTTGACTATGAGCAAAACTGATTCGAGTAAAGCACGCCTAACTACTATTCTAATAACCTAAATAGTCTTCACTGATACAGGGTTACTTTCGTCAATATGAGTTATATACGTCAGTCATGATTCATGATACATATACTTTTTGTTCATGATTGCGATTATGTTACCGACACTTTTTCAAATTAATTGTGGAAACGAAATAACTCACCGCAGCTTCCTTGATCTTTGACCGGCGAAACGGCGCCTTTTGCTCTCCAATCAATCGATTCCGGCAAGTCATCGGCGGAGCTGGCGGCATACCGGTCGCTCTTAGCCTTGGAAACCTTCTTCTTAGCGTCGATCGTCTTGATTCCGGTGTAGGTTTTCCGGTACTCTTCGTTCGTCAGATCGGCGAACTTGTTAAGTCCAACCTTATAGGAATGGTCGCCGGAGTTGTGTTCGTCGATGAACTTGAGGTTATCCTTGAAGATCTGAAACCTCCTGTCCTTTTCTCCAAGAGCGTTGTAGGTTTTACCGTGTTTCACGAGCCATGACTCGTACATAGCATTGACTTCATCGTCAGTACGCCAGTTGGTGGATGAGGAATCGCCGGAGGTCATATGAGTGGCATCGTAGCCGATGATCGACATGTCGAGGGCGGAGGAGACGGCGAAGAGGGCGAAAAGGAAGAGGATAGCCATGGATACGACCTTCATGGTTGCAGGCGGAGGAGATGAGATAGAGAGAAGAGAATAATGGAGTGGGAATGGTGGGGATAGGGCGTTTGGTTTTATAAGGGGAAAAGGAGATGGGGATTGGAATACTTAATTCGAATTTTAAATAGAATTATATAACGAGTGGATAGATGAAAAGTGGTATCAAATTATTTGATATTTTCGAAATATGAATTTATACGTATTTCAAGTTTTTGTATAAACATTATCTACTAGAAGATTTTTTTGTTTTGAAAAAAATATATATCAAGGAGTGAAGTGTGAATAGTTTGCAGGAGAAGATGCGATTGGTGGAAAATCCAAAAAGTTAGGCCCAACAAGTCGCACATGCCGCTTGCTTCACGTTTGTAATCACTAATAATGGTTGGATTGTACATTAATAAGGTATTTCAGATCAAATTAATTTTGTTTGGTACTAATAAGATATTTCAGATCACATATGTATATGTATTCTTTAATAAGCAAAAATATATTTTGTATTTTGGATTTTTAATTTCAGATGGAAAAAAAATTTTATTCCAAATTTTAAAAACGTGTATATGATATTTGATGAGCAAATCCAAAATTTCTAAAAAAGATTTTGGTTTTTACTGAAAGCTAAAAAAAAAGTTTAGAAAAAAACACATTGGAAAATAGATTAGGATACAAGAATTATTTGAAAATCTAAACATTTCGGATTTAAAGATGTAGAGAAAATTATTGAGAAATATTTATGCAAATGTGAAAAACATTGAGCGTGTTTAGCAAACTAATTAATGGTTGGTAGTTGGAAGTTGTAACTTTTATTTATATAGAAATATTCCACAAAATTAGATGTTAGCTTTTAAAAGTCTAAAAATACCTAAAAACATCACAAGCTAAAAGCTACTTAAAGTAGATTTTTGATTATTAGCATTTTGTTTAAAATAAAAGTTAAAATCTCATATTGAACGTGTTTGACACAAAACGTTTGGGAGTTTTTAGTTTCTGGTGTTTGACAAAATACAATGTTTTATACAAAAAGTTTTGTTTTGTACTACAAGCTTTTAGCATTTAGTTTAAATAAA